ACTGTACCCAGTGCATGTATAAACAAACAAACAAACAAATAAAACATGCCTCTATAAAAAAAAATTGCTTTTGTCAAGCTCCAGCTCTCTGATCACCTGAGGTCCTTGGTTAACAGAAGGGAAGGAAGGAAGTGGGGAAAGGAAAGAAAGGAGGAAATAGAGGGTTCCCAACTCAGACAGCTAAAGCAATCTTTCAGAAGTCCTCATAAGCCCCATCTCCACTCTTTATTTGCCACTAACATTTTAGCATGATCGACAGGTGAGGCAGAGCAGCCTAGAGGTTAAGAATGTGTACCATGAGCCAGATGCCTAGTTTTGAATTCTAGCTGTGTGTCCTTGGCTGAGTCACTTAAGTTTTTGTGTTTCTGTCTCCTCACTGGGACAACTTGGATAATTACTGAATTAGCTCTTGGATTGTTGTGAGGAGCAAATGAATTAAACGCTCATTTGTAGCTTGTAGTGCTTCTAGTCAATATCTCTGGCTCTCTTCTGCTTCCTAGCACTTGGAATATTGTACATCTCCATCCCTATGAAATTAAATGTGCCTTGTGATTTACTTGGACCAATGGAATATGAGAGGAAACAACATGTGTCACTTCTGAACAAAGCCGGGGAAAATTACACTCCATGTTTCTTGTCTAGTCATGACAGTCACAGAATTATAAGTTGATATGAAATTGTAACGAAGGCAGAATGGGACAGTGAGCCAAGACCTTGAGGACAGCGGCCTTGTACTCCTGTGTAGCGAGAAATAGGTGTGTCTTGTGCAAGCTCTTGATATGTAGGGATTTTTGTTACCTCATGTAGTGGCAGGTGGACAGGGAGCAGGATCTCTATGATTCTATGCAGATGGGGTAAAGAAGTCCTAGAGCCCTCAGTGGCTTTTGCAGGCTTTCATTGGGATTTACCAGGCACATGGCAGGCAGGAGTGCTGGGAAGCCAGGAGGCTGGCAGGCCTCCCAGGCCCCAGCAAGTCTTCACTGCCTGGGCTCTCTGGCGTTCTCTGGTGGGCTCTGTTGCTCTGCTCCCTGCTGTGTTTCTGCTGGTGACCCCGTGACGCCGCCCTTATAAGCCCAGTCTCTCAGCACAGGTGTATCCACTTACGCATGCCCACACCCTACTCCAGGGTGCCCGCCATCAGGCATGCATTCAGGACCGCAGGGATCCGTCATCAATCCTAATGGCAGGAGGGCAGAAAAGCCTGATATTTTCACTTACCTTACACCTCAGCATAGCCTTGCCCAACCTAACTGGAGCATTAACTCCCTTGGAGTAGACCTGGCCTCTGTTAACTGCCAAAAACAGCTTCAGGAGAGAAGTGCAGCCACGTGGTGTGATGCAAGAACAATGTTCCTATCACCAACTGTAGGGTAAAGAAAATGTCAGGCTTTTCTGCCCTCTCGCCATCAGGATAGATGATGGATACTTGCGGTCCTGAATGCATGCCTGATGGCGGGCACCTGGAATAGGGTGTGGGCATAGGTAGATGGGATTCACCTGGGCTGAGACTGTGCTTTTTAAGGGCGGTGTCACGGGGACGCCAGCAGAAGCCCAAGAAAAGCCAAGAGAGAAGCAGAAGCAGAAGCAGAGAATGCCAGAGAGCCCAGAGAGAGTGTAGATTTGCTGGGGGCTGGGAGGACTACCAACCTCCCAGCCCCCTAGCACCCCTGCCTGCCATATGCCTGGTGAACCCCAATAAAAGACCTGCAAAAAAACCACTGAGGACTCTGACTCCTCCTTTACCCGGTCTGCTGGATCAGGAAACCTGCACTGTGGCCCATTCCTGACTTTACACCAACATAAAACACACACCAGATCATGTCACTGCTCTGTTGAAAACCCATCATTCGCTTCTCATGGATTTTATAATGAAATCGAGATCACCCGTTTGGTACAGACAGCTCTACTCACCCTTCCCCTCACTCACCTGCCCTGCTGGCCTTTTTTATTCCTTGAATTTACAAGCACCTTCCTGACAAAGGGCCTTTGTTCTTGAAGAGCTTTGGGCTCAAATTCACTTCCCACCTCTTTTTTTAGCTCCATGTCTCAACTGAAAGGTCGGCCCCTCAGAAAGGCTTTATCCACCCAAAGACACTCCTTCCCACTCTCATTATTATAGTCTCAGCACTTCTTGCTTTTCATACTATTTATCACAAGTTTTAATTATTTTAAGTTATTGTTTGTTCACTTATTTCCTGTTTATCTCCAGCACTAGAGAGAGAGCTTTATGAAGATAATCACGTTTCTCTTGTTTATGGCTTTATTCCCTGAACAGAATAGTTTTTGGTAAACTGTAAGATTAGTTAGGGAGGGAGGGGAAGGGGCAGAGGAGGCAGGAAAGTAAGAGGGAAGGAAGGCTGTCCTGGAATTAAACTCCTTCTGAAGGTGTCCTTGGTGGCGCAGGGGTCAAGATGCAAACCATGAAGTTATCCTCAGCCACTGCAGCAGGAGTTCGATCCCTGGCCAGGAAGCAACCCACATGGCGCAGCAGACCTCTCCTGTCTTGCCTGCTGCTCCCCTTAGCAGTGTATTTCAGTCGATCTGTCCTGTTCCCCACTCTGTCTGTGGTGAATCCTCTCACCCCCACACCTCTGGCCTGTACCCCAGTTCTTGTATGCAGAAATAAATAAATCTTTAAAAAAAAAATTCCTTCTGAGTGCAAAATAAAATGACTATTCCTAAAAGAAACCAAGACTTTATGAAGACTCCTGGCGTGGCAGACCTCTCCTGTCGCGCCCACTGTTTCCCTCAGCAGTGTATTTCATCAGTCTGCCTGTTCTGTTCCACACTCTATCTCTGGTGAATCCTCTCACCCTCCCCCACATCTGACCTGTACCCCGGTTCTTGTGTAAATGAAAAAATAAATCTTTAAAAAATAATTAAAAAAAAACCCCAAGACTTTAGCAAAGGTGGTAAAATTATGAAGCATAATAACGTCTTTTCGTGAACTGACATATTAGGACTTCCAGAAATGGTGAACTAAAATTAAAATATAAATACTTTCATGCCAAGATAGATAAGTCAATATAAATGCCCTTCAAAATGAACTGTTATTATAAGGTAATGCATATCACAAACACAAAAATCCTGAATCTGAATTATGCCTTTTAATTTGAACATTTCACTCAATAAAAATCTGATATTCTGGGTCCAAGTGATGACACATTCCAAACTAATGAAACATGCCTGTAGCTTATGAAAACAAATTAAGATCACCAAGTAAAATCAAAGCCAGGTGTATTTGCACAATTTGATGATATGAATGGATTAGAATCAGTGGCTTCTGCTTCACCATCTATAGCATTGAGAATCTTGGGAGTGACATGGTATATAGGCTGCATTTTCAAACATGAAGACATACAGAATATCCTTCCCTCTCCTATCCTGCTAAGAAACTAAGACAGGAGCCTCCCTGGTGGCACAGGTAGTTGATCGCAGCGCTGTGGAGCTGTCTGCAGCCTCTGTAGTGCTGGTTAGATCCTCGCTGGCTGCGGAGCAACCCACATGGTGCAGCAGACCTCTCCTGCCGCCCGCTGCTCCCCTCAGCAGTGTACTTCATCAGTCTGCCTATTCTGTTCCCCGCTCTGTCTCTGGTGAATCCTCTCACCCTCCCGCACCTTTGGCCTGTACCCTGGTTCTTGTATAAATCAATCCTTAAAAAAAAATTTGAAAAAAAAAGAAACTAGTCATTTGCGGTCCAAAGGTGTAAATGAACTAATGATGCACTGGCAGCCATTTAAGAGAGATCTTGCAGGCATCCAGGGTCAGGTGGTCACAATCAGCCTTGTGTTATGTTCCCCCGTCAGTCCTGCTTTCTATGTGTGTGTAGGGGTGAGACTGAGGGCTGGCAAGACAAGAGGCAAGTCAGGAGGCCCTTCAGCCCCCCAAAATCTCTAGGATCTTTTCCTGGGCTCTCGCTGGCTCTCCCTTTCCCACTCCTTTCCCCTTCGTGTCTTCCTTGAGTCTTCTATAGTCATACCACATCTGTCTTCTCACTGCTGCCTCTGCTGTTGCTTATACACAGCCTCTAGGCTCAGATGTGCACACTTACACATGTGTGCACACTTACACATGTGTGCGTACCCATACTCCAGGTAGCCACAATCAGGCACGTGCCCATGGTCCCAAGTGCCTTTTGCATTAACAAGATCAAGGATGCAGGTGATAGCCTAAGAGGCTGGTAGCATAAAAAGCCTGATTAATTCATTTACCCTACAGCATGGAATCTTATTCCATAACTAAACGGGAGCAGCTGCTGCTGATCTGCTCACTATCTTCTTTCACTCCTGAGAAGGCACCAAAAGCTGTATGCCTTGATCCCTAAAGGCACCCAAGTTGACACTACAATTTGAATCCTTCAGGTGGAAAGAGATTAAGTCAGATCTGTATAGCAGGAAAAGCAAAGAAGGTCAGAAGACCTTCCTGATCTAGGAAGGCCCCAGCTCCAGGGATCCATCTCCATTATTTAAATGAGCTGTTATTAGGAAGCTGCTGTAGGGAGAGGTGCATACTTTAAGTTTATAGTTCCCTTCATTTCTATTTTCAACAATCTATAATTGGATCCAGATCTTTCTCAACTATTGTGACTTTTCCTGTGTGAGCAAGGAAAAGTAAAATTAGAATTTAGGGGTTAGGGTCTATTAGATTTAATCTCATTTTCTTTCTGCTTCTGGAGTTTTTCAGGCTTTTCTTAAATCCAGAAGATAAATACTGGATGGGATCACTTAAACATGGACTCTAGAGAAACCAAAGGATCAGACAAAGTCAAACTGTAAGACTGAAGCTTGAAAGAAGCCCCTAGATCTGAGACTCTCAGGAGGGGTGGGGTGAGAGTGTGGTGGACGACTGTTGGCATTCTGATGGTGGGAAAACTATGGTGACCACACCTCAGTAGAAAAATGCTACATTCTGAAAAAATAAACAAGGGTTGTTAAAAAATAAAAATAAATAAATTTAAAAAATAAAAGAAGACAGATGGGTACCTCAAATGTCCATTGCTCAACATTTATTGAGTGTCTGTCTGTCTTGTGCTTGCTCTTTGCTGCTTGCTATATGGTTGGTTACAAATGAATGATAAAATCCTGCCAGTCTCTTACCTCTTCGTCTCAGTGAATTGCTTCTTCTATATGCTTCCTGCTGCACTCAGAATGAATGAATGCAGGAGTGAATGAATGAATAAAAGTTTGAATGTCTGCCTAAAAGAAGGCAACTGTTGTTTTTCTGGTTAAAACTCAGCTAGGATTACAAGCTTAGGTGACATTTAGAGATGCGGTAGCAAGAACCCACATACATTGTTTTAAATTTTTATTTGCTTACAAAAAAACATCGAAATAGGTTTGCAAAAACGTATCTGCACGTACAAAGTAATCCCTGTAGGTAAAGAGGACAAGCCTTGGAACACTGCTGGAAAGATTGTTCATCAAAATTGGATCTCTTTCTATCAGAACCAGTGGAAACTCATTATTTCACAAAACAAAATCCATTGAAACACTTTTTTTAAATCACCAAATTTTGGTGATTTTAGACTTTAGAAAGGTTATGTTCTAATGTATATTTTTGGATGCCTGTGAAACCAGTTACCAAGTGATCTCAGAGTTGGACAGGTCAATTAATCAAGAGGTAGTTTGTTCATACTCTCCCTTTTTCCTTTCAGCTAAGGCATTAGGGATAAGTGGCATTATATGTAAATCTGTCTGAATTCCTGTTCTGCTAGGATGTCATTTCCCTCACATGTAATCATATCTGTTGTTGGGACTTGAGCTCATGTAACACATAAAAGATTGCAGAGTTCAAATTGTTTGCCAATGTTTCTTTGAGCTCTTCTCTCTGAAAAAACAAATCATCTGGCAGGTCATTAAAGCAATAAAGAGAAATCAATCCTGTGGTGTCAGAGATTAAGGGGATTTTTTAAATATAATTTTTGGTGAATAATTACGATAATATTAGCAATATCCAAGGAGGAGGTTTAGACTGATGAAATGAGCTCGCTAAAGATCACATACAAACCAAATAATGACATTCTTCTTGAAAGTGATTCCTTAAGAGTCTTGCAGCTGGTCTTCCAGTTTCTCCTGAGGCCATCAGATCTCAGGGCCCCACAGTGCCATGGCCTCCAGCTCGTCTTGGACAGGGGTGAATTCCGGCTGATCAGGATGGGGAACTAGAGAGGAAGAGTGGGTATAGGGACTTGATAGGACCCAGGAACCCATCAACAGATATTCTTCCCTCATGAGGATCCACAGAGACACAGACTTGGTGGTTAAACTGCAGAGATATCCTGGCCAAGGCAGAAAGCTAGTAGCCCTTCTGGGCTGCTTAGACCTTCCCCTGAGGTTCCAGATGGTTAGTTAAGAAGAAAAGGACAGCTACATTAAAGAATTGTTAGAAAATTAGAACCACAGCCAGCTGATTAAATATTATGTTTTATTTACAAAAACCCCTGAAAACTCAGCAGAATTATGAAGGAAAAATAAATTTAAAAAGTTGATCTCATGTTAGAAGTCCATCACCAGGGACAGGCAGTAGGAAGGGGGTGAGACAGGAAGGCGGGAGAGGCGGGTGGCCCGGGAAAGAGATGCCCATCTACCTTCTGTGGGGACCGGTTAGTGAAGGAGGCATATTAAGTAACTTTATTATTGAGCCTTCAGACAGGGGAGTTTTGGATAAATTCTTGGCAGGCACACAGTTATGTATCTATAACCATGCTGATACGGACAGTTGGTTTCTAATGATAGTTGACACAAGTGCTTGGGTAACGTTCCAGTATTATCCCTGTACGTGTTTGGAGCAGGGAGGACTAGAGTGGCAGTGGGCAGGTGGGAAGCAGGTGAGGCGGGGAAGCGGAGTGCCCATTGTTAGGGGCGGGGCTGGGCGGTGGTCAACAGGGCAGTTGTGGATCCAGAGCCAATGTCCCAGGCCCAAGTAATCAGAGTGGAGGAAGCCACTTCAGTGCTGGTAATCATTGTAAGGGATCAGATCTTAAAAGGGATAAGGAGATTTGGGAGAGGAGGGAGGGAAGAGATGAACACAGAAAAACACATCAGCAAATCTTTGACCAGTTCCTCTAGCAAATAGGTTAACTTTCTCTTAAAGCAGAAAATCTAATTTCATTGACTAATATGTTCATTGACCCAAAGCAGACTCTGACCCTCCCCTCTTGATGCTTCCAAGAAAATGTCTCATTGCACAGCCCATTAGCATGCAGACTGCAGATGTTTTAGGAAGCATAATGTTTTCAGAATCTCAGTCCAGTAGTTAGTCATGAGGCAGGGACAGCCTGAGCACATTGGTTTCTTCTTAAAATGATCCGTGGTCACAGAAAATGGGCACAATGTGACCTGAAGGAATCTAGAGGGACTAGAAGGGTTCTCCTTATCAGGGGGAGAGTTCTAAGTTTGAGGTTTCCCAGAAACAAGAGTAAAATCTTGCAGGATATCATGGCCACATCACAGCAGTTAGTGTAGCATGAGGGGCCAAAGAGAATGGCCTCCAGTGACCAAATACAAGGTCAGAGGCCAGGTCAGTGCGACTGGCCATTTGGGAGCAAGGAAGACTTATTAGAGGTGTGATTATTTTGAATTTCCTCTTCTGGTTTTTAAAAGGCAGCCTCTATGGTCATTTGCACACTATAGATGATGCCTCTGGATCATTTGGGATTCCAGCTCTCCCTCCTCCTAGAAGTGATCTATTTTTACTAGTACCCCCTCACCAATGTGGCACTAACCACAGTAAAATAGCCCATGAGAGGCTGGTACTTACCTCCCACCCCATAGCCAGAACATGAAGAGGGGTCGCAGTATCCAGGCTGGCCAGAAGGACCTTGTGGTCCAGGTACACCCAGGTGACCTGGTGGGCCTCTTGGTCCAGGAGAGCCTGGGGGCCCAGGGCTTCCTGGCCGACTCTCCCCTGAAGGTCCTAGGAAGCACCCACAAAAGAAGACAGTTGGTCTTTTACTAGCACAGGGTTAGTTTTGAGTCCACCAAGAAGTAGACAAACTCTTACAAGAACAACCTTGCAAAACTGAACATCTAGGGTGATCTGGCTCCTTCTACTGACTGAGTTCTTATTCCTAACTGGACAGAGAATCATACTGAAATCACATGATCTCCTGGATCATGCTTTCAGTCAGCTCATGAACCTCTCGCCTTTTACTCCAAGTGAATAGAAATTCTTAATATTGTTTTCTCTAGGGAGCTTTTGTTTTCCAGTGCAGTTCCTTACACACACACACACACACACACACACACACACACACACACAACTACACTCAATTTCAACCTCATCATAGGCTCCAGACTATTTTAATTGAAATAAAATATTCTGGATCTGAAAGAAATAAACTTGGAGGAATAAAATGAAAAGTTGGAAGTTGGACCCAATATACTAATCCAGAATTTCTTTAGGCTAATTTATGGTACTTAAGAACAGAGACAGTGTAAAAGGGGAGATGGATTAAAACTTGTGTGGATTTAAGAAATATGTCAGGCTGAGATTTTTGGTTCATCTTTAGGCCTGGACTTCAACAATGTTTAAAAAGGGTTATTTCAACTAGAAATTAAATTCAATGAAAACAGTAACAAAATTAGAAACAAGTATCACCTAATATTTGGAAAATGCTGTGGCTGTCAGATACAGCCGGTTCCATTTAATAACATTCACCAAACATCCATTCTGTATAAGGCATGTTGCTAGTAGAACAGTTCCTCATGTAATCTCTAATAGGAGTATTTATTTACACTCAAAGGGAAATTATTGCATAAATAATGTTTTCTAGAATGGGTATTTTACCAAAATGATTACTAGGTTGGAAAGAAAAATTTATAAAGCTTTTGATTCAATGTGACCAAGACTGACATTAGAAACATATAATAGGATTGCCAATTTATGATGCTAATATTGCATATGATCATCTGGAGATCATTTGAAAGCAGACAGTAATATATATAAAACTCAAAACTTACACCAAACTTATGTGTTCTTCGAGATTCCCAGCACCCCTTGGAGGTGAGCTGGGGCTGTGTGACCAGCCATTGAAGCTTGAGTGTAGCTGACATACGTCATTCAGCATTTAGAGAGTTGAGTGCTGATGTGTCTGCTTTGTCTTTTTCCTGGAGGTCTTTTGTTTCGAAATGTGGGGAAGACACCTTATTCATATCAAACTATATGTAAGTGTGAAATAAACCTGGATGGGGTCAATCCAGTAAGCATTTGGAATTGATTTGTTACTGCAGCCTGGCTTAGCCTCGCCTAACTCATTCAACCACTGAGATCCCAGAATATGCTGTAACTCGGGGCACTTGTGTATTTGGAGGGAGGTTCAGCACTAACAAACTGACTTCCCAATAAGATGAGTTAGAAACACAGTCATTTTCACTAGGATGCAAGAGTGATGTCAAGTGACTGTACAGATTTAGGATGCCACCCTCCGGTGAGGTAGGGAGACTTACCTGCTGGTCCAGGGGGTCCCCTTGGCCCTTGGGTTCCAACGCCAGGATTTCCTTTTTCTCCCTTTGCACCAGTTAAGCCTGTTTTTTTTTTTAAAGAAAGAAAACAAAAAGTCCTTTTTAAAATAAAATCTGGGCAGTTCTATTTTTCTGGATTTCACAAGGACCTCTGTGATTAAGACAAAGATGTGAATTGATTTGGCTTGGGGTTATGGCTGCTACATTACCCCAAGTGAATGGGTGAATGAAGACATCCATTCTATCTGCCTGGCTATCTTCTCCTACCTCTAGCCTTTATGGACACTGTCCAGTAATATCCTTTGTGCCAGAAGAAAATCCATGACTTTACACTGAATTTAGTTGCAATGCCTTTCTAGTCTCCTTTAATCTGAAATAGTCCCCAGGTCCTTGTCCTTCAGGGCATTGGTATTTCTAAGAGTAACAACAGCTATTTTGTTGCATCTCTTTGCTATTTGCTTACGACTCCCAATCCCTGGTTTTGGCATGAACACCCCCCAAGTGGTGGTGTCCGGAGGCATCGTGTCAGGAGGCATAAGCTGTTGGGTGTTCCGTAACCAGCAGTGCTCACTTGGACTAGTTGGTGAAGCTGGTGCCTACCCAGGTTTCTCCACTGCAATGTAACTCTTTTGCCTCTTGTGATTTAAAATGGATCTCCCATGTCTAATTCACAGAAGATAATTAGGGAGATAACCTAAATGTCTACTTCTGAGAAAACAGTTAAGCATCATGGGACGTTTAAATTAAAGCCTGACCCTGCTGACTCGCGCAGTCACATCTAGAAGGTGAGTGCTATTTCTGAGCACGTAGTCTGGATTTGCAGCTCTGCAAGTCTCTCTCTCTCCTCCCCCCTGAAGGGGTCCAGCCTGCCAGGGTTGGCCTGTGTCTTTGCACGCACCAGGCCCTTGGACGTATGCAGCTGGCACTCCACAAGTAGCACAATAGAAATCACAAGTGAGTATGTCTAACATTTTCCTTTTGATCCACCCTGTAATGTATCTGCAAAAGGCATGAATTATAATTAGGCAGCCGAGTTCTGAAGAGCATGAGTTTCCATTAAAAACTTGGAAGCTTCAGGAAAGGCTGTGTTTGATTTGGCTGATTCAGCCCTATAAAATTCTAAACCTATTCATATTTCTTTTCCACCGAGCAGGCTTCTTATTCCAAATAATTTACCATGCTGTTAACAAACTATACATTTTCATGGGCAAAAACTAAAGGGACATATCCTCTGACACCACCAGAAGCTTCTATCACAAGATCGCTGGACAGGTGAGAGCATGCAGTTTGGAGGCGCCACCAGACTGAGGGGGTTGGCTCAGACTGGGGGTTACATCCCAGAAGGTCTCTGGCGTCTGTCTGTCATGTGAAACAATGCTTTGCAGTAGCAGAATGCGGAACTGCATCTTTGTGTAATTGCACTTCCAGAGAAATGATATGTGAGTTGGCAAAGCCTTGAAGGGAACATAAATTAAAATAACCAATTTGATAAGCCACAGGCATGCAAGCAATTTACAATTTTTATAATACATATTAACTGGAGGCAAATTAGAAGACAGAACAAGTAAGACTCCAGCCCTTGAAAGCAATTGTTTCTATTATTTTATAATTTCCAAAGAGAAAAGAGGCCGTGTCATAGTTGCTCTGGGAATCATTGACAAAGGAAGGACCAATGAGCACCTAACTGTTTTTCACCTGCACATGTAGGGATGGTCCCTCGACTTGAAGCTTTGGTGTCTGCTGTGCACCTTGTGGCCACCTCCTGGAGTCAAGGTGGGCTCTTATAAAGGCCCTCCTCCCTGTTGAGGTTGTCCAGGCCACCACTGATGTGCTTCCCTGACATGCGCACCTATTGCACATCGCCTAGGTGGTATTTTCTGAGCTCACACAAGACCAGCACAGAGGGAGTGGGCAGGGCATGGACCACCCAGAAACTTTGAGTGCTTTCTCAGTCTCATCTGGATTGAAGAAGCATACACTTTACTCAGAGAGTCAGCATTTCATGTTCGATGGCTAAAGCTAATCAAGTTGTTCTCACAGAGAATCACCCTGGGTACCTCTACTGGGTATTACCCTATTAGCCACAGCTTCAGAGAATTGGATAATAATTGAAGGCAGTGTTTTCAATTGAAGGTAGGTGTGAAAGACTCTGTCTCATGTACATGTGGGAATTTAGTAGAAACAGCCTCTTCTTTTGTTAGAATTGAAGTCACTTACCCATAGGGAACCACTGATTTTTAAAGAGTTAGAACACAATAAAATTTGCCGATGACGAACACCAGGCTGCTCCTGATTAACTTCTGAGGTTGACTCAGATGTCTCTCATGACCTGGTGGTGCCCAAGACTCAACAGAACAATGTAGCTTCTCAGGATTACCCACCAGCAGAAGACCCAGGAGATGAGGCTGAACAGGAATCTGGGCACAAGAGCTAAGAAAGTATTCTCGGAAATGACCCCCCGATGAGTATCCCCCCCACTTCTCCCTCTTTTATGCATAAAGAAAGCAAAAGGAGGGAAAGATTGGGGAGCAGAAACTCTGGTTATTTGAATCTTTTAACTATACAGAGAAAAAGAAATAAACTATGATATTACTTGAAATGCAAGTCAGCATAAGAGAGGAAGAGCCTCACAAAAATATTTCAGCTTCTCAAAATTCCTCAAGTAAAAAAGAGAAAAATTGTAAGAATACAGTACATATTAGTAGGAAATTTTAGATTTTATTATACTTGGAATTATGATCCCAGTACAATATATTAATTTTTGGCCATGTGTTTGTTTATCATTCCCAGACTCGGCAATATTCACGGCCATGACAACTGCACTTGGTTAGAAGCTCTTTTATTTTGGGATGAAAATAGCATGTTAAAAAATCAAAATGTAAGTACCTAAGATGAGGAGTGAAATGAAAGGCTAAGCTTAGAGACTTCAAATCTCTAAAAATAGATGTGGATATAATCTTGAAATGTCTTGTAGGCCCTGATGAAAAGGAAGGCAGCCAACTATAAAGAGTTGACTACACAGTGAAGTCCTAGAAATTCAGTCTGTAATTGTCCATGAGTTGACCAAGGGGAGTGAAGCTGGGCATAGGGCTATTCTTTTTTTTTTTTTAAAGATTTATTTATTTATACAAGAACCGGGGTACAAGCCAGATGTGTGGGAGGGTGAGAAGATTCACCAGAGACAGAGCAGGGAACAGAACAGGCAGGCTAATGAAATACACTGCTGAGGAGAGCAGCGGGTATGACAAGAGAGGTCTGCCGTGTCATGTGGGACCCTTGCTGGTATGCAGGGATTGAACCAGTGCTGCAGAGGCTGCAGACAGCTTCACAGAGCTGCGCTCAACAGCCTGCACCACCAGGGGAGGCCTAGGGCTATTCTTTATGGACAACATGCAGTCATCACCCCTGGCAAGGGCTTCTCTCATACAGCTCTTTTGTAAGGACTCAAGGGGCCTCCCTGGTGGCCTAGGGGTTAAGTCTCAGCACTATCACCACTATGGCCTGAGTTGGATCCCCAGCAGGGAGAAGCAGAACTCTCTTGTCTTACTGACTGCTCCCCTAGCAGTGTATTTCAGTAAATCTTCCTGTTCTGCTCACCACTCTGTGTCTGGTGAATCCTCTCACCCTCCCTGCACCTCTGGCCTACACCACAGTTCTTCTACACAAAAACAAATAAATAAATTTTAAAAGAGTATTGTGAGAGGGCCTCCCCGGTGGCGCAGCAGTTGAGCGCTGGGTTGCGAAGCTGCCCGCAGCCTCTGCGGCGCGGGTTCAATCCCCGGCTGCTCCCCGGCCACCGGAGGAGGGTCCCACATGGCGCACAGACCTCTCCTGCCACCCGCTGCTCCCCTCAGCAGTGTACCTCAGTCCTTCTGCCTGCTCTGCTCCCCGCTCTGGCTATGGTGAATTCTCTCACCCTCCCGCACTTCTGACTGTACCCAGTGCATGTATAAAACAAACAAACAAATAAATAAATAAATAAAACATGCCTCTATTAAAAAAAAAAAGAGTATTGTGAGAACCCAGGATGGAGCCACTTGGTGCTCATATGGGGTCTCTAGAGCTTAATGCCCATAACCTTTCTACAAAGTCACTGGGATTCCTGAATGTATGACATATTCCCGCCTCCTGAAACACTTCTCACAGTTATTTTTTCCATCAATTCGCCTCATTCCCCAAACCCCAATTTGAAGTTTTCTATAACCAAAATAATGAATTCAAGCAGGAAAGGATTATCTATCTTAATCATGGCTGCATCCTAACACTTTCTATGGTATGTTCCACATAGTATGTAATTAGCAAGTGTTTATTGAGTGAACAGGGCACTGCATGAATGAATGCTTTCCTTCCATATTATCTGTGTCTCCTTTCGCATTTTCCCATTGCATTGCTTGTTCTCATGTTCCTCTAGGCTGGAACTTGGGGTCTGCTGACTTTGAGAATCATGACTTATTTATCACTGGAGTGTCAGATCCCAGCAGAGTCTTACAGGGAGTAGCTGGCCCAGTGAATACGGAAGACTAACCAAATGAACAGTTACGTCAATATCCAGTTATTAAAGCAAGTGTGACCTTTGATGGATCAACAACAAAATTCCTTAGGCTGGAACATCTCTTTCACTTTTACACACTTGATTTATGTGAACAATACTTTTTCTAACAAGTTCCTTATGGGGAAATATCAGCTACCAGTACCTCTCAAAGATGAATATAACTATTTTAATATTCAAGTTAATGTCATTTTTTTTAAAAATGAGCACAGTTGATATAAAAAAAGATTTAGTTTAACCCAAATATGATTTAGCTAAGATTAAAACAGCCTTAATCTTCTTTGGAACTACCAAAGATTTATAGGATAATTAGAGAAAAGTCTTTATTATTCATCCATTCCTTCAAACTTTCTTTGAAAAAATTTTCTTAATGATTAATTTTTTCCAGACCCTAAATCTGTTTTTTTTTAATTTTTAATTTTATTTTTTAAATATATTTTTACATCATTTTTCATTTTTGCACAATGTATGCATTTTCATTTTGGTTTTAGTCCCCATACAATTCCCACCCCCC